CTAGCAGCAATCAGTTGTCAATATTCCTTTAGATAAGATTGGGGTCTGCTGTTCATTTTCCCAGTTCTATGCTGGGTTACTATCTGGGCATCCTTTTGGCTACCCTGGCCAACAACGCAAAAGAAGGTATCTCCTTCTGGCATTGTTGCTTGTTATGTAGCCTTTAGCTACACATATGGACTCTTAAGAAATTATATTGGCCCCTTTAATCTTTGGTTATATTTTCCTTTTGGGTGTTTAAGGCCATACAGTTGGCCCAGATAAACCCAATTTATTTTTACTCTTAAGGTCATTTGAGGATCTGTTCCTCAGGGGTCACATGGGCTTGCACAGGCTGGAGATAGGAGTAAAGTTTCAGTCCTTTGCTTATGGATATTCTGTTTTCCCAGCACCATTGTTGAAGAGGCTATTCTTTCTTCAGCCTGTATTTTTAGTATCTTTGTCAAGGATCAATTGGCTGTGGATACATGGATTTATTTCTGGGTTCTCTACGCCAGTCCATTGATTAGTATATCTCTTTATTCAAATGCCATGCAGTTTTGGTTACTATAGCATTAGAGTATGTCTCCGAGACCGGGTGTTGTAATGGCTCTAGTTTTGCTCTTTTTGGTTGTGAGCCTAAGCGTTTAAGGAGCCCTAGCTCTTTTTGTTCAAGGTTGTTTGACTATTCTGAGTCTTTTGTGCTTCCATAAGAAGTTTAGGATTTTTTTTTGTAGTTCTACACAAATAACACTGGTGTGTTGATGGGAATTAAATTGAATATGCAGATTGCTTTGCATAATATGACTTTTTATGCCCTTTCCTTTCTGAAGACAAGGACCACTCCATTTCCTTCTTGACAGTGATGGTGTTGATTAGCCAAGAGCCTGAAATCATTTAGATGTCCGTTCAGTATCAGAAATGAAGATGAGAAAACTCACTGTTGTCTTAGTTTCTGAGTTCTACTTAGTTTTCATGGCGTTCATAAAAGTATTGTTAGGATTGTGTCAAGTCTAATGTACAAAGTTTACATTATTTTAGTATAGCTTACACTTTTGAGATAGATACTATTATGTTTCTCTTACAATAGAAGAAACTTAAGGACACTGAGTACAAGTGCTATACACACTCAGATCAGGATTTGAACCCTGGTCCAACCAACACCAGAACCTGAGTGAGCTCTTAGCCACTGCACCCCATGTCTCCCTAAGGCTATAGAGTTTATTCACTGTGCCCTGACCTAGCCTAGCAATCACAGATAGCCTGGCTTCACACTCCATAGTGTGTCTGGAGGTTTTTGTTCATCCTTAGCCTTTGGAAGGCCTGTAGAGGATCAGGAACTGGCAACTTTCCTTCAGTCATCTGGATGCTCTGAGTCCTTAAACAGTAGAGAAGTAACACGGTACACTGGCAAAATGCTGTGGACTCTGGCGTTTAAGGAACTGCCCTCCTTACATGTGTGACATTGAACAAATTACACAATCTCCACGTGTCCATTTCCTTTTCTGTAAACAAGGAGCAGTAAAAGTGCCAACTTTTAGGTAGCTTTGAGAACGGATGACAGCATGTGCTTGTGCAGGTCTGCTCCCAGCAGGGTTGCCTTTTGCGTTTCTTATTACTGTTATTACCATTGTCGTGGGGACAGGTCTCTTCCATGACTCAGATGTTTAGAAAAGGAGAGTTTGAGGCTAAATAACGAGTTCTAGGTCACTGGATAGAAAAGCCTTTGTGTTAGAAAGGGTCTCTGAGGCCCAGGCTGATACGGAGTTCACTATATAGCCTATGCTAGGCTCGAACTCATGGAAATCCCCCTGCCTAATGCTTCTGAGCTCTGAGATTACAGGCATGAGCCGCTGTGCTTGGCTAAAAAAGATTCTTTCTTCCCTTTTCTCTCTTTCTCCTCCCTTTTTGCCCTCTTCCTCCTCCTCCTTTTTTCTTCTTTCTCCTCCTTTTTCTTTGGTGTGGTTGTGGTCGTACTCTAAATGTAGCTCAGGACTTGACACACTCAATGCAAATGCTCTACCATTGATCTGTATTCTAAGCCCATGGGCATTAACAGCATTAAGTCTTTCAACCCATAAATATAGAAAGTATTTCTACTTTTAGTGTCCTCATCAATCTGTTTTCTCAGCATTTTGTAATTTTAATCATAAAAGTCTTTCATTTCCTTAGTGTATTGTTAGAAGTGTGTGTGTGTGTGTGTGTCTGTCTGTGCGTCTGCATGTATGTCTGTGTCCACTTGGCTGTTGTGAATGGCATTGCTCTCATGATTTCATTATCATAAAGTTCATTATTAATATTTTAAAAAGTTGTATGTTGATTTTGAATCTTTATTGAATTAATTTATCATTTCAAACAATCTTTTCATGGAATATTTAGGCATTTCTGTGGTGAACAGTGATAATTTGACTTCTTCTTTTCCAATCTTTATGCCTTTTATTTATTTCTTTTCTAGTTTCTTTGGCCCAGATTTCTAGTACTGTATTGAGTGGTAAGAGCGGGTGCTCTGGTCTTGATCCCAAAGTTAGAGACAATGCTTTCAGTTTTCCCACGTTCAATATGATGTTAGGTCTGGGTTTGCCTGATTCTCAGATTAAGTATGGCAAAATCTCTGAAAATATTAAAAAATTTTTTTGAAATCTGGATCACTTCTGGCCCCAAGCATTTCAGACAAAGGATACTTAAACTATACAGTTTGAGTTTTATTTAGACCTTCCATCTGCAGATTTCTTAGCTTTTCTTCATAAGCTAAAAATATATACTTTTGCTTTCCTATGGTTTTAAAACTGGGAACATTTTGGAAAATTGCCATGATGTGATAGGCATGCTGCATTTGTTTTATGTAAGGATTGCTCAGGAGAGGTGGGCCTTCTGCTATGCACAGCAGGCTGGTAGCCTGTGTCCAGGGTTAACCGTGTCCCCATTCTGGCATTTTGTTTTGCTTGCTTACTTAAAGTTCATTTGCCTTCTAAAGGATGTCTTCTGTTAAAATTTTGAAGAGTTTCTTTCTTTTAAAGGAAATTTGAGATGGAAGCGAAGAGGAAACAGGAGGAAGAGGACAGAAAGAAGAGGGAGGATGATGAGAAGCGCATTCAGGTATGGAGCTACTGGCTGGATTTCATCAAGATAGAGTCACCGGGGATAAGAGAAGTGAAAACAAAATGCCACCTCCACATCACAGGCTTATCCCACAGGCAGAGGCAGTTTCTGATGTGAGTAGAGTTGAGACATGGGACCAGGGAAGTGAGTTCAAATCCAGGCTTTGTCACTGACAGAAATGGTGGTATTGTGTGTCTTAGTGAGTGCCTATGAGTCAACTTCTCTTTGTAGAATGGACTTACATAAGTTATATTAAACAAGGTGGCAAAGCGTTTCCAACAAGTCCTCGTTCAATAAGTATTATTTAGGGAAGTTAGATAACTTCTGAAATGGAAAACATTACATGAATTAGGTAACCGAAGCTCAGGGAGAGGAATGCCACATCTTTTCTCTCACAGGCAGATGCTTGTGTCTCATTATTAAATATGTGTATCCAGGTGGGAGTAAATATAGGCAAGGGTCAGGAAATTAGAAAGGGGGCCATGAGTGTGCAGAAAAGAGACTGAGGGGGCAGTAGAACGAAGTGGAAGGGAGAGTTGGGGGGGATGAAAATGTAACAGGGAAAGAGGGGCAGAGATGAGGTGGGAATGGATGGGTTAACCAAATTGAAACTGAAAATCTGGCATGGAAACCTATTACTTTGTTAGCTAATATAAAAAATAGTAAAAAGTTAATTTATTTTATGACTACAGATACTGGTATTAATGGGTTAAAACTAAGATATTCTCTCCACTCTTAGTCCTTTCCGAGAATAATTGACCATTTCTGTTTGTCTGGGTGCTCATGGTGTATCCTTGGCACAGCCAGCAGTTGAATTTTGCCCAGCATTCAGGTGTGGCAGGTGTCTTCGGAGTTGCTCCCGTGTGGTCATAGCATGGTGGGGCTGTGCTGCTTCTGCCTTGTTTTAACTCTGGGAAAGCGAGACATCAATGATAATATAGAAAAATAACTGAGACTGGGGACATTTGTGCCTAAACGGTGTATACTCCGACGAAGATAGCCTGCTGTGGGCTGGTAAGCTCCCCCTTTTTTGTAAGTAATGAGGTAAGAAGCAAGGAACACTTGGTCACGTGTGCTCTGTGCTTGGCAGGCTGAGGTGGAGGAGCAGCTGGCCCGACAGCGGGAGGAGGAGTCACAGCAGCAGGCGGTTCTGGAGCAGGAGCGCAGGGACCGGGAACTGGCCCTGCGCATAGTCCAGAGCGAGGCCGAGCTCATCAGCGACGAGGCCCTGGGCGACCAGGCGCTGCGAAGGTACTGGGGCCCCGGGAGCGTCCTCTGCTGGGCCGTCAACTCTGTTTATTTCTATCTGAAAAGGACTAGGAGAAAGTTGCACTTCGAAGGTTTTAATATATTTGAAGTAAAACCATTTTTAAATTAATGTACTTACTTCCACGATCAAAGGAGTGGAATATTGAGTTTTTCTATTCACGTATTAAGCTTGAAAACTAAAACCCGAAATTTCAGTTAATGGGCATCGTATTAAGAAAAAAAAAAGCTCAACTTTTGCTCTGAAATTATTTGAGTATTGCATATTGGGTAGACTTTTAATTTCTAAATACTTGTCATTAAATACTGACATAGAAATCAGTGACTGTATTATAATGCAATTTAACACATGAAGTTAGGAGTCTTTATTTTCCTAATACAGATTTTTAAAAATATGTTTATTTTTACACTTGAAATGAAAAATTTGTCCTCTAGGACCACAGAATAAGGGGTATTTGTTTTCAAGAAGGAAAGTTAATAATATTGAAATATTTTTGTTCCTTAGATCTCTGAATTATGTCTAAATACTATAGTGGGAATATGGAAGTTCATAATATTTTGCATGGAGCTGCAGAAAAGTTAATATTTATCATTTAACAATTTTAGACTATAGAAAGTTATTTTGATTATTAAAAGAAAACCAATTTGTGGGGTGCCTATGCTGTGTACTGAGAGACATGGGGATGGAACCTTGCTTCTCAGAACTGTAGAACACTCTGACCAAAGTATAATTAAATTAGCCACTAGATGGAGCTACTTTCTTGCAAAAGCAAAAATCCTGGGTGACCAGGGTAAGGCAAGTGTCATTGAGCTGCTTAGATTTCACTTAGTGGCAAAGATCTCATTTGCTGATTTGTCTTCACACATTTTTCTAGTATGTGATTATTTTGAGGCGCTTTGAAATCTAAACTGTATATGATAGTGTATAATATTGTAAATGAACAGACTAAGCCTGTTACAACAGAAGTTATTACAGTGATTACATGTATAAAGTATGTATACGGTGTATATATCTAGATTATGCGGTAATAAACAATTCTAAGTTACTTTTCCAGCTTGAACTCCTGTCCAGTAATTTCTAAGTAAGATTTGTTTTCATATATGTAATATATTTTCAAATACCATCTTAATCTGTTATACTTAAGACCTTTGATGCAGACTAATGACTTCAAATTACATGAAATTGTGAAGTGGGCCCAAATTCCTATTAACAATGAATCTCACAGTGTATGAATATCTGAATTTTCCAATCTACACATATTTGCTCTTTTTCATTAAATTCCTTTAATTCTTTTGTAATCCTTTCCAAAGAACATTTTAAAAATGCATCAAAAAATCTGAATAATCTTATGTAAATTAAAGATAATATTTTTAAATCAGTGAGTAAATAGAATACAAATTCACACAATGCATTTTTCAGTTCAGAGCTGATGGCGATATTAACTAAAACATATTTTTTTCGCAGAACTGATGGAATGAGACCCCAAATGACACCGTATGTGGCTTCTCTTTGCCTTTTTAATGATGGGTTGTGTGTGCTTTTGAGAAGAAGTAGTTTGCTTCTTGAAGTAAATGTCAAATTGCTTCATTTTATCAAAAGAGAACAAGATAACATTGTTTTTCTACTTTTTTCTTGCCTAGGGAAAATGTTTGCGTCTCATAGAAGCATATGATTTGGTTTCCTTTTTTGTGTTGTCTTTGTTTAAACTTTAATACCAATTTGTTTTTTGTGTTTTTAATTTACTCTTACCTTACATCTTTAGAGTTGTAGGTATGCAGGAATAGATAAGAATAAATATTTAGTGTTCAGTATATGATGATTAATTCTCCTGATATGTGAACTAGGTCATGGTCTGACGTTTCTGTGTAATGCTGCTTCTTGTATTATGTTTGTCCGCAGAGAGAGAATCTTAGTAACACTTGAAAAATAAATGAAATGTATTTTGTATACGTCTATAATGCAATTTAGGAATATTTATAAAATCTGAATTTTAACAGCATTAAGCATTAGAGCTGTGAGTGAGTTCTTTGCCGTGTCAGACTGCAGCACCAAAAGCAGGTGTTTCGTGAATGACATGTCCTGTTTAACGACACCCCAGAAAACACCTGCAAAGGAGAAACGAGAGGGGCTCATTTGAGAGAAGACACTGCTTTTAGTGTGACAGTGCTCGTGTGTAGTTGCCCTAAAGGACATGACCCAATAATCAGATATTTTTGTTTATTTATAAAACGCCATGAAATACAATAGCTAGAATGCAAATTGATACAGGACTGTTGTCTCATGAACTCCAATGCCATGATGCTGTGAACAGTCCCTTTTAAAGTTCCAAGTGAAACACCATCTCCTCTCAATTGCACAATGTTGCATCTCTAGAAAGACAGTCTATTAAAACTATAAAGAGCATGCTATTTACATGTAAAATACATATTTGCATGTGTATGTTTCACTTTTATGTGTCTGTCAGACATGTTAACATGGCATGGGTCATAGGATAGTTGTTCCTATGCAGGACCCTTACAGTTCCTGACCGGCTTAATGTCTAAGCAGATACAGGATACTCACAGCATTGTTATTACCTTAGTGCCAAACAAAAACTTAGAATATTTTCTGAGTGACTACTGTTTATCCTCCCTTCTTTAGTACAACTATTTTATAGTTGTCATTTGAGTTTGAATTAAATAAACACTGTAATCAATGTCTAATGTGAAATTGTAAGTATTTGCAAATAGTTCAGTAAAATCAGAAACTAAAAGTACCTAGATGCAGGAACCATTTGGTTTGGTAAACCTGGTGTAGTGTTGGTGAGAGTCAGGTGTATGCTAATGTGAGGTCAGGTAGGACAGTGAGGAAGCATTCAGAGACATCTCTGTATGATCAGTTGACCAGGTAATAAAGAGCTCTGGAAGACTATTTGATTCCTTTGAAGCCTGCTATGAATAAACAAATGGAACACACTGTAGGAGGAAGAGATAGTAAAAACAGACAGAATCTTGGGGGGGGATTGAATTAGAACTACTTTTCAAAATTATACTGTTTGAAAATTCTAAACTTCTAAAAACTGCTAGGTAGTGATTGATTGATAGTATATTGCTGAAAAGAGAATTTGATTACATTATACTTGCATACCTTGTTTTGTGGGTTTCCTCCTTGCTTGGCTAGACCTCCATCAATGCCTAGTTGTAGCTAGTGTTCATCTCAAGAAACGAGGAACACAGACCCCTGCTCCCAGGGCTCCAGATCTTTGCTGGCATCCAGGAAACTGTGCCATGCAGCAAACATACACTTCTTTTTTTTTCTTTTTCTTATGATTTTTACTGATTTATAAGGGTAAAAGTTTACCTAAGTTGGATGAATAGAACAAATTTGAAAATGATTTAATTATGAAGAAGAAGGGCAAAGGGCAGGAAATGAAATGACATTAATAAAATGTTGATGAACCCAATGAAATCATCATCCCATTCCATAGAATTGAGCAAATGTTGACCGAACTCGGTTTCCAAAGGAAAATATGCCTTTGCTTTTTCAGAAACAGTTACCCATGTGAGTTTAGACCTCCCAGTAACAAGTACTTGCATTCATTTTCTTTCCTTTTTCTTTATTTACTTATTTTTATTTTATGTGTATGAGTGTTTTGTTGACATGTAAGTGCAATGCTTGTAGAGGCTTTGGATTCTCTGGAACTAGTGTTACAAATGGTTGTTAGCTGCCATGTGGGTGCTGACCCGGGTCCTCTGCCAGTGCTCCTAACTGCTGAGCACCTCTCCACCCCTTTTTCTTTTTAATATATACTTTGGGAAATTTAGGTCTTTAGATTCTTTTTTCCTTGGTCTTTTTGAGACAGGGTCTCCCTGTAGTGGGGCTGGCCTGGAACTTGCTATATAGACCAAGCTGGCCTTGAAATAGAACTCCCAGAGATCCATCTGCCTCTGCCTCTGAGTGTGGGATTGAAGGCGTGCACCACCATGCCCAGCTATCTTTAGATTCTTACTTGAAAACTCAGTCATTGTAAAATTTATTACTTGGTTTACCACCATTATGCTTTGTCTAATTAATATTCACTGAGCATCTTTGATGCAAAAATCCTAGTATAGTCTCTATCTCCTGCCAAGTTTCCTGTGTGCATTTAGAACATGCTGTTTATATTCTGTACATAAAAAATGGCACAGACGCATGGTTTTCATGAAACGTTATGTGAAAGTTCTTGTACGACAGAGATGTGTTCATATAACTGTAAACAAAAGTTTTACTATTTTTATGCCTTGAATTGTTGAAAAGTATGTTATTCATAGATATTTACAAAGTAAAATAATTGTGAATGGTTACTATTGATCATAATGTTAAAATTCATTATATTTTTAGATCTTTTGAGCAATTCATATCATGTGTCTTTCATATAACTGTGTTGTATTATCATTTTTTCTTATAGGGAACAAATGGCCAAAGAAATGTCAGAAATTTTGAGTAGGTTAGTGCAGTATGTTTGCAGAAATATTTACTACAAAAATCATATTTTTAAATCATCTTTGATTATTTAGAGAACCTGTTATATGGATGGCCCATTCTTTTTCATGTAAATTTTCTGCATAAGAAATATCAAGACCCCCCCGCCCATTTTACACAGGAAAAGGTAACAAGCAACATTCCTTTAAGTCTGGTGTTCCTCAGTGAGGATACAGTGGGATGGGGCAGCCTCAGTGTGGGATCCTTCCTCTCATCCTAATAACAGGAGTATTTTGGAATCCTCCCTGGGGTGGGGATGACGCTCTGAGTTTTCCCACTGTGCCCAGCTGAAATAGAAGTCGAGGAAGAGAGGGCCTTAAACTAGGAATACCAGTTTAAAAATCACTGGTGCAAGTTGAGGTCCCAGAGAATATAACTTCCCTGCAGTATCTAGTCCATTACTTTTGTAAGTGGATTTGAATCAATAATATTTTGTCAGCCTTAAAGTTGCAAAGTGAATTAAAAGTGCTAAATTAATAGAGTTTTTAAAATCAAGTAAATTCTATCACTATTACCTTAATGTATTGTTTACATGATTATCTTTATAATAACAATCAGTAGATTATACCTTTATTTTTCATTTTACCATTTTAATAACTCCGGAGACAAGGGGAGGGGCACATACATTATATTAATTTGCTACTTTTAACACCAAATACATATTTTAGCAGGTTATTTTTATTTGAAGTATATGAACAAAAAACAAATGTTATTAAAATCATATTTTAAGCAATAATTTGAATTTAGTGTTATCTTTAGAAAGTTTCAAAACATAACATGCATATTTTTATGTATATTTGACTACCAAAATTGTATGTTATGTAAATTGGTTTTCTTTAAGAAAAAAACAGATAACAAAACCCTTATTAATTTTCAGTTGCTATCTGAGAAAACACTCCTGGAAAGTGTGGGGGGTGTGTGGTTATCTATCATCTATCTATCTATCTATCTATCTATCTATCTATCTATCTATCTATCTATCTATCATCATCTATCATCTATCTATCTATCATCTATCTATCTATCTATCTATCTATCTATATATCTATGTATCTATCATCATCATCATCTATCATCTATCTATCATCTTTTTTATTATACGGATTGGTCCATATGGTTATGGATGAAGTCCATAAGTCTATGAAATCCCACAATCTGCCAGCTGTCAACTGCGCTCTATCTAATCTACCTATTTTTTGGTCAGTTTATTGAATGGGCAGTTTAGAGATACAGAAAAGAGTATCTGAGTAAATGTTAAAGCATAATATTATTGTTGAGGGTAACGGACCTTGTGGCTGCATAGCTGATTCTTGAACGTTTTTTCATTATATGTACTCACTGTCCATGGTAGTGGGTTCCACGAGTTCCACTTTCATATGAGTATGTAGTGGCGGTGACTGTTTTGCTGTCGTGCCCCCACCCTCTCTTACTGCCTTCCCCTCCTGTTAGTCCCCTTGTTCCCTAGACAGTTGTGCTTCCACTTTCATGTATTCTCGTATGATTTTATGTATCTTCATAAAATAGGGAAATCACAGAGGAAACCTGACATTTGTCTGAATCTGATTTAATTTGATTAATATTATTGTATCTAGTTATATAAATTTTCCTGCAAATGACATAACTTTGATTTTCCTTATGACTGAAAAGCACTCCAGCATATGTATATATACTACATTTTCTAGTTCTCTGTTTATGAACACGTACGTTCATTCTATAACTTATAGTTTGTTGACACTTTAAGCAAAATGATTAGGAATGAAAGGCTACCTGCAAAATTGCTGGTTATATACAATTTGTGAAAAAAATATGGATACTGCAGTAAATATAAAACAGATCTTAACGATAAGATGCAGGGAGGATTAAATGGCTATGTATTTTTTTGGTCAATCTTAGGTTTATGATAGCCACCATGTCAGAGAATTTTAAGTATGTGATGAAATACACCATTTTTGGCCTCTAAAATGAAAACACACACAGGCCTTCTAAAGAGGCAAAGATATCCATTTACCCATTGACTATTGAAAGAGTACCTCCCTTCACCTCAGGAAGAGGGGCTATATTGTCTAAGATATATTTTCTATTGTTTTTCAGTAATGATAGCCACATAAAGTGTCTCTATCTTGACCATTTGCTAGGGCTGTTGTTCTTTTAAAATGTAAAATTGACGAGAAAATACACTTATTTCAGCTAGCATAACTTGATGATCCTCTTTAAGAACATGTGTTTTCTAAATAGAAGATGGTAAGGGGGAGTTGACTGTGTGATACCTGACAAGTAGTATTTTAGCTCTTCAGTATTATATCTGTGCGTCTTCTTTTCATGTTTTGAAATCTTATGTTTAAACTCTTCCTTTGTTACATTAGCTTAAAATAAATCTTGCAGCTTGATTCGGAGTGTTCATTGTCGTAGAAAATAGGTTGTTTACATGCTTTCTAATTAATGGTCTCAAAGGTGGATAAAAAACAGGTTTAAGCTAGGTATGTTTGGCACACCTTGGAATCCCAGCACTTGGGAAGTTGAGTCAGGAGGATTCTGATTTTGAAACCAGCCTTGGATGCTTAACAAAACCTTGTAAAACTGTTAAGAAAAATTGAATTTATCCATTTTTACTAAGTATTGTAGATTTTTTCTTTCCTCTTCCCTCACATAAATGTTCCCAGCACGTGTGCCCTTTCGTCCTCTTTGTCTTTCTCGTGAGCTGAACCCTCTTCGCACAGTTTACTGTTGTCCTTCTAGGACTCACCAAATGCAAGACTATGGCTTGTCTGCTTGTTGAATTTTTCTTTAGGGGGGCAAGGAGTGGTTTTGAGACAGGGTCTCCCTGTAACCACAGCTGGCCTGGAACTCACTATGTTGGCCGGGCTGGCTTCGATCTCACAGTGACCCACCTGCCTCTGCCTCCTGAGTGCTGGGATTAAAGGTGGTGTTACCATGCCTGGCTTGCTTATTGACTTTTTCTGAGTGTTTCTAGATTCTCCAGTTATTTTAGCCTATATGCAGTGCATTGCAGTTTGGCCTGGGGACACCTGTGGACTCTGTAAATATCTAAATGCCCAAGAAGGTGCTGTCCCAGTAGCAGTGAGTAGAGCTGGGTCATTGTGGCTTTAAGTAGACTGTCCAGATGACTGGATTGGGTGGCCTTGTGGCTCACAGCAAACCAGTAATGTGCCACTAATGACCTTTCAAGCCTATATGTAAATGTAATTTAAAAATTTTGTATATTCATGTGTTCTTCAGTAGGAACATTTAAGCTGACTGTTGGGAAGGAGGTGAGCTGGATATAGTGGGCGCAGGAGTTCTGAAGAAAAACCCAAAGTTGCTAGATAGTGCCCATCTTTTAGTGCGCCTTTCTCTTCCTGCTGCTGCGCTCTCCTCCTCCTCTTTCTTTTTTCCTCCCACACCCCCAGTGCTGGGACTGGAACCACACAAGGCCGTGTGCATGCTAGGCCAGTGCTGTATCAGTGAGCTACAACCTTGTATACCATGCTTGATTTCACCTGTCAAAGATAGAAAAAATACTTGGTTTTCTATTAGTTTTCAGTTCTCAAAATTATATATACTTTCTTGCCTCCCAGTCACTATATTTCTAGTTTAAATATGTACAAATTATAATAATTACAGAGGTCCTGCTGTACAAGCCACCAAGGCAGCTGCTGGTACCAAGAAACATGACCTTAGTAAATGGAAGTATGCAGAACTCCGTGATACCATCAATACTTCTTGTGGTAAGTGTATGGAGAGGATGAAGGAGGAGGGTCCATACTGATAGCTAGTGAGATGTGGTGTGTGTGTGTGTGTCTGTGTGTGTGTCTGTGTGTGTGTCTGTGTGTATGTGTGTGTGTAAATTATTTAAACCCAGTTTCTTTGTTCCGAAGATACAGTTTTGCTTTCCCACTCATATACTATGCAGGACCCAAATCTAGGGAATGGTGCCACCCACAGTGGGCAGAGTTTTCCATCTCAAAGTAATCAAGACAATCCCTTACAGATATGACCAGAAATTAACCTGATTTAGACAGTACCTAATCAGGACTCTTTTCCCAGGTAGTTCTAGATTGTGTCAAGTTGACAATTAGAATTATCCATCACAGCATAATTACTAAATTAAATGCATTTTACCTAGGTCAGGGCTCTGTTAATGACTGGGCCGTCTGATGTGTTAGTGATGGTCACATGCTGTATATGTGGATCCTTTGTTCCATGAATGCAGAGTCACGCAGAGATGCAGTCCCTTCCTTTTAAATCAGAAATTCCCCCAACAGAACAATTGTGTGAGGCACAATTTCCAGAGGCTCAAGCATAGTTAAGTTCTTGTCTGAAACAGGGTGTTTGAGTTAGCACTGACTAAGAGTGAAAGCATCCTAGTAGACTGAATTCTTACAGCATTCTTTTCCTCCTCATTGAGTATATCCCTATAATTATAAATGTGAAAAATGTGTCGCATTTAATTCTGGCTTCTCTTTGGGCACATTTATTTTATTCTATTTTTAAACTTTTTAATTCAGTTTCTTCAAATATGAAAGAACTATTTAGTCTGGAGCTCTTGAGTTGAACAAATGATACTGGAGAGTAATAATGTGAGGAAATGCTCTGTAAATCTGAAAGATTTGTGAAATCTTTAGCTTACTTTGTATTCTGTACTATTAAGAACAAAAACCTTCATATAGACACCTATGTGTTTATGCCATAGAATAATTGTGTTAGATAAATAATGTAGAATGTTAATTTTTTGTGCTTTTTAAAAAATCAATAGATATTGAGCTCCTGGCAGCTTGCAGAGAAGAATTTCATAGGAGACTAAAAGTGTATCATGCTTGGAAATCCAAGAACAAGAAGAGAAATACTGAGACAGAGCAGCGTGCTCCGAAGTCTGTCACTGACTATGGTAAAAACAAATCTGCACTTTTGAATATTCCCAAGTGTATGTACATAAATACATGTCATTATACATAAGGTCTTTGGGTAAAATATCCACTACAAATTTCTCTTACTGTAATCCATTGAACCTCCTACAACCATGATTGTCAGTCTTTTATGGTGTTTTTTCTAATGAATATAAAGTCATATTTGTCAAGGTACATTGAATTTTGTTATAATAAATTCTAAAGGTAAGGATTTTCTTTTCTATACTGAAGAGGTTATGCAGTCTGTTGTAAGTACATAGTCTCCAGTGTGCAAACACACACACATCAGTATTACATGTGGAAGGCTGGGAATATATGGAGTCGAGTGCGTGCTTGGCATGTGCTTTCCTCAGCATTGCAAAGAGCCCAAGACTCAAACAAGTAAAAAAGAAAAGTGCCATGTGGAAATGAAGTGGTTACTGTGACTGTTGCTTTGCATATACTAAATGAGTTTACATACGAAAATTAGCTTTTTATATTGTTAAACAGGGTCTTATGTTTTATTTTCAAATCTTTTCCTTATTTTTAAATTTAACCTATCTCAATCTTAGATTATTTCCCTAAAATCTGCAAACAGTGTTGTTTTTAATACAGAGGTGTGCGCTCTTCCTGCCTCCTCCCAGAATGCCTCACAGCAGAAACAGAAAGGCGCCTGCTCTGTGTGTCCCCTTTACCACTCTGATCCTGCTGTAAAAGAGTTTTGCAGCACACATTATTTAAAAATATAAGGTTCTATTTTGTCTTCATGCAAAAACACAAATGTACCTTTGAGCTGGAAAGTAAAGCCAGTCAAGGCAGCATGGGCTTTACTCAGACCACCTGCCATGTAAGTCAGATGTTCAGCTTTCAGAGCAGTAACTGGAATTTCATCTGCGACTCTGGTACTTTATACCACTGTAATTTATCTTCTTAATTCAAGGTAACATCAAGGTGACAGAGGTGTTGTGTCTTTGTTTTTTTTTTTAATTTTATGTGTATGCATGTATTGCCTGCATGTAGGTAAGGGTACCCATGTCGTGTAATGCCAGTGGAGGTCAGAAGAAGCCATCGGATCCCCTGGGACTGGAGTTACAGATAGTTGTTAGCTGCCATGTGGGTGCTGGGATTCGAACCCGGGTCTTCTGCAAGAACAACCAGTGCTTTTAACCGCTGAGCCATCTCTCCAGCCCCCGTGTATTTGTTTTAAAATATTTTATTTTCTTGTATGAGTCTGTTGCCTGCATGTGTATAAGTACACCCATGTCATGCAGTGCCTGCAAGAGGTCAGAAGAGGGCACTGGATTCCCCTGGAACTGGAGTTAGGAATGGTGGGTGCTGGAATCAAACCTGGTTCCTATGCAACAGCAGCCAGTGCTCTTAATCACTGAACTATCACTTCAGTCTCATGTCTTTGTTTTAAAGGGGTCTATTCTCAGTACTTGGTCACCTGGTTTAGCATTGTATCATCCAAGTTTACTTGAGTTCTTGGATATATTTTGCTTTTTTCTCTACATACCAAGCAAGTAAAAGTAATACTTGAATAAAGTCAATCAAATGGTAGGACTTCAGTGTTTCAGAGTTGTGCAGAGTTGACTGAGATGGCTTCTGTTAGTAAGGAAGGTGTTAGTGCTGGGGATTGTTCCAGAGTGACTTCAGGCACCATGTAACAGGATGAGGGCAGCAAGAATCAGTCTGTCTCTGTGTCTGTGCTGAAAGTGGTATGGGCATCTGAGATGCTGTAGGTTTGCAAAGATGGAAGCCCCAAGCACATGACCCAAACTCTTTCCTGTTTCAGTGTTTCCTCTGCATATTGAAATGACAAGATGACTCTGTTCCCTATTTGTTGTCTACGTATTAAGCTTCTGCCACAAATTACTATTGTTTTATATATTTAAAAAACAGCAGTAAAAAGGTAAGTGCACCTATGTTGTGCAATGCCTGCAGAAGACAGAAGAGGCTGTCAGATCCCCTGGAACTGGAGTTACGGATAGTTAGCTGCCATGTAGGTGCTGGGACTCGAACCCAGGTCTTCTGCAAGAACAGCCAGTGTTCTTAACCACTGAGCCATCTCTCCAGCCCCCTCCCCCAGTGCTTCATGTTTTTAAACTGAACTTTGATACCTTAGTTTCCTATTTTTGCCCTTAAATGAAACAAATAACGTGACTCACCTTGCTGATTCAAGTAATGTATTTTTCTTTTGTGAAGTCGGGTCTGACGTAGGAAGGACACAGCTGAGGAGAGTGGTGGAGGGTGTCAAAGCACTTAGTGGCTCAGTGAGAAAGCTTTGTGCTCGAAAGGGATTGCTGTGTGCTCTTTGTATTTTGAAGTGTCAGAATTCACTTGAAAACCTAAAGCGATGGCACGTTAACACACACAAAATGATGTCATCGGCAAGAGTTAAACACCGACAAAGTGTGCTTAATTCCGTCAACAGTGAGTAAGAAGTCTCAGCCCTTTTCCTGAGCATGCTCTCATCTCATTTATTGACAAAGAAAATTTCAGAAGTAATTCTTAGGGCAGTGGCTAATCAGCCAGTGAATAGTTATGATTGCTTAAAACAATGGTTTGGGAAATAGTTTAAGTTCCTAAAATAAAAATGTCATGAGTTTCAGATTTGGGAAATTTGAAGGAAACCCCAGTATATTGAGTGTGGAAAGGGTAGTGTTTGTATCATTAGTTAGGCTTGTGTTTGGATGTCCATCACAGCATTCTAAAATTACTCACGTGGAGTCTAATCCACCTTCTTCACCTTTGCTCAGACAGAATTTCCTAAAACGTACCGAATCAGTTTCTTCTTTTCCTTTCCCTCCCCCTCCTTCCCCCTCCCTCCCTCCCTCCCTTCTTCCTCTCTTCTTTTTTTTTATTATTTTTTAAATTAGAGAGCAACATACACTTGTAGGTGATTCTGAGAGTTCTTACCTATAGAACAAATGTTTACATGTTAGTCACCACCTCAATTGATGGGCTAGATTTATAAATTAGAAAAATGCTCATTTAATAGTTCTGGCATTTTTATCCTTTCTTCATCATGCAATATTTGTTCACAGATTTTGCACCATTTTTGAACAATTCACGTAAGTCAATGGGTGGTAACTCATGAGCTAACTGGAAGAGGGGTTATAAAGTACTAACTTCTGTCAAACCTCATTTTGCTACCATTGTAAATGGAATTGTAGTACGTTGAAGATGGCTTGTCTATGTTAAGATGTGTCTTAACTTGAGTTGATGCATATCACTCCAAAATATTTGCAGAATGAAAATCAAATTATGAGATATCATTTATCAAATTCCATGCATTAAGAATAACATTTAAAACTGTGAGTATATACAATTCTTACTGTAGCAAAACTGTCTTCATCTGTCTTCACTGATCTTTTAGGGGAAAAGACTAACTTTTATGTGCTGCTTTCAAATACTGTATTGCTAAGCATTGTGATGGTACCTGTGTTTCTATTCAGAGAGCTGAGTTTTGTTTAGTAATATACATGTTTAATAATGATTCCTCCTAATGAGAAGAGGAAGATCATTTTACTAATTTTATAACCTCCTATCAGACACACCCTTCCATAAATTAGAAACTTTGAGTCACCTTTGTATACAATAAGTTCCTAAAATCAGTGGAGCAATAGTGATTTTGATATAATATCATATGCATTTGTGAGCTGGCTAGGACTCATCTTTTGAAGTGATTCTTATAATTTATATTTTTATTTTGTTGTTTGAGGCATTATCTCACTGTATAGCCATCCCAGATTGGCCTCAAACTCTCAGTTTTCCTACCTCAGCCTTCAAGACGTGAGGTTTATTTAATTTAATTTTGAAGCCAATTCAGTTGGATAAAAACAAGTTGTTTAGAAGATTATTTTCAAGGTCTTGTGCACTTTCCCAGAAGTTTTTAGTTCCTTTTCAACAAAATTTCAGTTCTTCTACTGATAGAAAAGGGCATCAGAAACACTGGTTTCTTAATTTTACTCAGTGCATTAACTTCCAGAAGACTTATTTTAGAGAAGTAAGTTAATGAATGACTGCCAATGCCCTAATTTGTGTTCACTTATTCATCATCTAGAAGGGTTGGTATTTAAACACTATCCTTTTGAAGGTCATGTGTTTAGTATGTATATAAATGTATAGACACATACATAGGCCCCATGTTTGCAGAGTAGATTGTCTTTTAAACTTCATGTATAATTGTTGAGTTGCAAGAACTGTCAGGAGACAGGAACAGCAGCATAAATCAGTCTTGTCTCTGTGTCTGCACTGAAAGTGGTATGGGTCTTTAAAGTCACTAACAAAACTGGCTTTTCGTTCTTTCAGAGGCATATGTAGCTTCATTAAGTGCTTTTTGCTTTCTCTGGTTTACAAAAAAAATAAATCTAACTTTCTCTAACCCTATTGTTATTTCTTGGTGTAAAAACTAGGAGTATTTTCATCCCTTTGGTATTTATAAGTTCTTAGAAAAGCTGTGCGGCTGTTCTTATTTTTATATGTAGTAAGTTTTTCATTGAAGTTCTTAGAATTACAGTGAATGGTTGCTCTGCCTTTGGAGTTGTGAGTATAAAGCACACTAAACAGGCTTGCCGGAATTATTCTGCTCAGGATGGAAAGTCATTATCCCAGGGACATGTTTACATTTGCAGATAAACTAAAACCATCCAGTAATGAAAACTGAACAGGGAGTTAGGGTAAGCAGAAAAGGAAGCTTTTCCTTTCCTGTTGGTAAGGAGACCCAAATGTTACCCCCTTTCCACTTGTTTCAGTAGGTTTTATTCCCAGAGAAATCATTTAAAGTAAGCAAATATCTTTGTTATAGGTATTTTTGTTGTTGGTTTTTGTTTTAGATTTTTTTTCCTGCCATGTTTCTCTAACATTAACATTATTTTGGCCTTTTAAAAAATGCAAAAATCAGCCAGGTGTGGTGGCAAATGCCTTTAATCCTAGCACTTGGGAGGCAGAGGAAGAGGCAGGTGGATTGCTGTGAGTTCAAGTTCAGCCTGGTCTACATAGAGAGTTCCAGGCCAGCTGGGAGACCCTGTCAAAAAGACAAAAAAAAAGCCAGAATCAGTTGGAAAAAAAAATGTTAAGTGGCTTTCACTTTTTGTGGAAAATAGGATTAAATGAGCAAATCTCTCCAATTTTGAAATGACTGCTTATTTTAAGTAGTCTATTAAAAGCTGTTCTGCAACTTTCATTTTAAATATTTGTAGGAAAAATATGCCTTAATAAATGAGACTGATTTTCTAACATATGAATTTATTTTGGACTATGATAATTTATTTTTGCCAACCTGGTAGGGTTTTGTTGTCTTTGGTGGTGGTGATGGTGGTTGTGTTGGTGGTGATGGTAGGGTCTCTGTATGTGTGTGTGTGTGTGTACCGTGTGTGTGCACAATGCTTGTGTGTGTACCATACATGTACACAGTGTTTGGGTATATACTATGCATATGCATAGTGCTTAATTCTCTGTGTGTACCATAGTGTACATGTGCACAATGCTTGTTCGTATACCATGTATGCATGTGTAGTGCTTTTGTATGTGTATGATTCATGTGCATAGTGCTTGATTTTGTGTGTGTGCATCATACATGTGCATATGCACAGTTCTTGATTGTGTGTGTGTTTACACGCACTTTGTGCCCACATGCACATGCACTAACTAACAACTTTAGGCGAAGACAGAGAACCCCACCCTGCATCGAATTCATATATAGGCAGCTAATACATTTTAGGTTTACTAGTAATAGGAACCTCCGTTCTCCCCCTGCCCCCATTTAAAAAATTCTTGATGTATTTTAGGAATGAAGGCTGTTTTCTTTTCCCTTGAGCTGCTCATGTAACTTTGGCTGTTCTTGCAATAGCTCAGCAGAATCCCACAGCTCAGCTTCCTGCCAGGCAGCAGGAGATGGAAATGAACCGCCAGCAGCGCTTCTTCCGCATCCCATTCATCCGTCCTGCTGACCAGTACAAAGATCCTCAGAGCAAGAAGAAGGGCTGGTGGTATGCCCATTTTGATGGACCGTGGATCGCCCGGCAAATGGAGCTCCATCCTGACAAGCCACCCATTCTTCTTGTAGCTGGTGTGTATAATTCACAAGAAAAATACTATCAAACAAAAAAGGGACGTAAAACCTTCAATGAAACATTCTAATATAGAAGTCACCGAATTTCAGAGTTGAATAATAGAGGTTTGCAGTTAAATCTCAATTCCAGTTTGTTGAAGCGTAACTGACTTACAGAGCAGGATTGCTTTATCCCCTTTGAGATACATAAACATTTGTCTCCTGAGAAGCTGTTCACTGGTGCTTAATCATATCTGTTGTCTTGTAATTGCTTTAAGAACCTGTAGCATTCTTGTTAACCATGACGACTCCTTTGAACAGTTAGGGGATTTATAAGGTTTGAAACGATCCTTAGTAGGAGTCAACCTTAAATGATTTCTGGAGAATTTAAGCAGATTTCTACCTTAGAGAAAATAAAGTTTTAAAAAGTTCTCAAATATAGAGAATTGTTAGGCATTTCAGGAATAAAACTCATAAAAATGCTCTGCCAAGACATATGGTAATTTTCCGATGTCTCCTGTCTGCAGGCAAAGATGACATGGAGATGTGTGAGCTGAATCTTGAGGAGACTGGTCTGACTCGCAAGCGTGGTGCTGAGATCTTGCCTAGACAGTTTGAAGAGATCTGGGAGCGCTGCGGGGGCATCCAGTACCTTCAGAGCGCCATCGAGAGCAGGCAGGCCCGGCCCACCTACGCAACAGCCATGCTGCAGAATCTGCTCAAGTAGACCCACTGGCCTGCTCCAGCTGCGCCCTGGCCCGGAGACTGGACAGTGATGTCTAGAAGGCTTAGTGCTTCCTCAGTCCTGTTAGAATTCCTTATGCAAAGTGAACAGATTTTATGAATCATGGGTTTTGTTAACTTGTTTATGGTTAATTAAGGTTGAAGTAGTGAGTTTGGGACCTAAAAAGAATATTCCTGTATCCAGCAGTAGCAAGTCCACCTCTCATGACTGTGCTGTACTTGCACAGATTCTGACCTTTCTCAGTCTTTGCTCACTGACTACCTTAAGTCCATCGTGATTACTGTCAAGGACAAGAAGAGTTTTTTAAATTTCAAAATACTTGATTTTTAAGGATGACACAGTACCTTTATAACTGGACTAATAAAATCTAAGCCTAATTTTGCACAAGAATTAAGGCACTTGAAATGATAAAGGCACAGATATTTTTCATAGAAAAAGCTATATTTTGTCTGCTTTTTCAGAAATTCATGGAAATGGATCTCTCCCCTTTCCTTTCTGGTATTTCTAGCCTGAGTGAACCCTAAGTTCTAGAATTTTGGAAAGACCCTTGATGTACTGAGTATGTTGTGTGCCAGAGGAGGTACAGGAAGTAGGCAGCATGGACTTGGGGCACTTTTCTGTCAAGCTATGTGTTGTTCCGAATCTCCTTTTCCTAGTTCACAGTTAAGTAAAGGAAATTCAGATTGTTGGAATGCTTAAAAGTTCCATTGAGGAAGGGACACAGGACTGAGGTAGCATTGTGGCTTTGTTGGATTGAATTCAAATATTCTTTCGATTTCATCTCTGTTGTAATTTTTGAGTAAGAATCTTCTCCAAGTATTCTCACGTGGTTTAAGCTGGTGTTGTGCTTCAGGACCCCTGTGCCCATTTCCACTCCTAGTGTCTGCTTTGGCCTTTGAGATTTGGTAATTATAGAGCTGTTTATAAACTTTGTAATTCAAAAGCCCTGTTCTTAGAAATTGCTTGCTTCATGTTGCAGATAATTTTTTAAAATCTTTCTTTGTGTGTTGTTAGTCCTGATCAGATGTCATCAATTATAGCCTAATGTATTGGGAATCTAGAGACAAAAAACATCATGGAGTTGTGTTGACATCCAAAGGAGTCTTTGTTTGTATTTTAGAATAAAACGAGAAAGTAAAATTATTCTGTGCATCTTTTTTCCTTGTTTTTAAATATCCTAACTTCTGAAGTTTCAGTTTTTTTCCTTAGAAGATACTTTAGTTAGGAAAATATTTCCCAGTTGAGGAGAATAATGTTTGGAAGACACGGATACTGTTGTCAGAACTGTTTCAAAATATACCTTAGTACTGAAATATTTATTTATTATGATACTGTGCAGATGATTGTCTTGTGTTAAGGAAATGAAACGTCCTGTCTCTGCTAATAATTGAGAATGTGGATGTGATTCTCTTCTGGGACTCTGTTCCTGCTTAGAGTCACTGCTGCTGGGTCGTTTGGTCCTGTGATCGCTAATGGAAGGTGCAGTCACCGAGACAAGTGACTTCTTTCTCCTTCACCGTTCTCCTTCCATCGGGGCTTTTATCTGTGCACGACAGTAAATGAGCTTTACTTCCTAGTCAGTGATGACTACAGTCCTTGAAAAAAGTCTAGAACCAAATTGATTGTTAATGACATGTCTGTTTAGTGCTGTTTTCTAAAGTACTTTTATGGATCTTCTAAATCCATAAATAAGCACTAGATGGAAAATTAATTAAAAAGATGAAAATTATTATGGTGAGAAAACTCAATATTTTGAAGAATTTTAAAGAACTATTTGACAGTAAAGCATTGTTAAAGGTCTTTTTGGTTTTTGACTTTGATAGTTCATGTAATTATGTCTTAAGCCATTTTCATTCTAATTATGTTACCCAGCTGTCCTGGAATTATATAGTTCAAATAGTCTCCTGAGGTTATTTTGCCAAGCAGGAGAACTGCCCTAATTCAATAGGTTTCAAGTGTTCTCCATATAATAGGTGTGCAAGTATACAGACGATCCTTGCAGGGGAGACATAGGACCTCCATCCTATGAGGGATACAGCAGACATGATGTTCCAAGAGACTCTGACCAGCTTCTGTGCTGTGTTCTTAACTAGAACTACTTGAAAACTGGAGGCATCAAAGTTAATTAAATCTAATTTTAATCAGTGATTTTGATTGAGATTTAAAATGAAAAGTTTAAACCAATGTGCCACACACAAAGAACTACTTTCTCTAATTCCCAGCTCACCCATTTTTAATGCTAGTCAGTCTCAATTCTTTCCATAGCATGTGGACATTTTAATAAAATATTAAAAAGAGGTGCTTTCACCTTCAGGTTAGTTGTAATTCAGTCCCTAATTCCACAAGCACTGTTGACATTCACTAGGAAGTGACACTTCCACTGAGCAGGGAGTGTCTCTAGTCCATGTGAAAAAAGCTAGAAACTTAGTGAGCCCTTTGTTTTGTAAAGAAAACAGGTGGTGCTTGTGAAAGTTTGGACAATAGAAGCCACAGGCAAAATAATAATGCCTTGTTATTATTCGTGATCTTTATTCATTGGGTTGTTCATCCCATGCTGGGAATTGAACCCAGGGCTTCCTTCCTGCCAGGCTCTGCCACCCCCAGCCCTTAGTTGGATGCTTTTGAAAGACATTTTCACTCACAGGTTATTAATATGGTTCTCAGGGGATTCAAATACATAGAGCCTCAGTTTCTTTACTTGAAGTAGCTTTAAAGTACTTAGATCTGAGGACTATTTATTGAACTAATCACTCAGTTAATACAAAGTTAATAATAGATCTACTTCATTATATGAAAAAAGTTACAGAAACCTAGGGAGGTCAATAATTTATTTAGTTTTAGATCATGAAAAACATGTAAATGGTTTTGCTCCAATTATATAGCCAAAAAACAAAAATGAAAACAATGGTTTGTTTGTTTAATAAATCCCTGGGGACCTATAAAGGTAAGTCCTGTCATTCCCTATTTATCATTAACAGTGGTAAATGAGTACTGAGTTTTAATTTCTCCCAGAAGATATACTAATGGGGGAGGAAAGGGCAGAGGATATTTCAAAGGAGGAGAAGGACAGCTGGGGGATGGGTATGACACTAAGGACAGAGGCGAGCAGGAGTGGAGGAGGAAGGTCTACCCTAACTGAAGACCAAACTTCAGTTGAGAAACATTGGTGCATTCCAGAGACAACAGAGCACGCCACTGTCTCTGCTGAGCTATAGAGTGAATTATGTACAACGTCAGATCAGAACCTGTGGCTCTTAAACTTGGATCACGATACACCTGGTGCACAGATAGCGCTTGGCATGTAGAAATGGTGCAAAACACCGTCACAGTTGGGTTTGTTGATGGTCGTGCTCCTTCATTAAAGGAGGCCCAAACAGGGGCAGTGGACCTCACCGGAGTATCCAGCCACTCTTCCCAGCCAACTGTATGTGATTTGGCCCTAATCACACATGGTCTCCTGGATTTGGGAAGGCTAGGAAGAGAAGGCATGACCCATGCTGGGTAAAGGCTTTCCAGTGTGCACACCCTCAGGTCATACATACACCTCAGCAACCTGCCAGTTATCTTGATAAGTAAGCTCAGTAAGTTCATTGGTTCCCCAGTAAAACTTTAATCAAACATTGACTTGATACTAGAACCTTAAAAGGGAATAAGCATTGCTTAGGCTCCCCAGAAAAAGAATTTTTACAACAGATGGAAAATTTATTTGTTAATGCTATTATGTCTCATAATTATTTAAAAAAAGAAAAGAAAATGAGAATGTAAAAGATGCTAAAAGGATATGGGAATGAAGATATTTTCAAAAATAGAAAAAGTGAGAAAGCCTAAGAAAGTGATGAAGGTCTGTGTAGGTTTGTTATGATATATAAAGGATGAGACAAAATAATATACACATAATCTTAAAATTTCTAAAGTTATAGTTCAGCCAACTAGTTCAAGGAACAAAATATATTATCGAGTCAAGGTTTATCTGAAAATAATTTGGTTTTCTACCCAAGCTTTATCTATATAGCACATGATAATTAAAAGTACCAGACTGTGGAACTAACCTTATTGGATGTTTAACAGCCATAGTTTGAGGCCTATACTAATGTGGTCAGAGGGACTTAAAGGACAGTTTTTGCCCCTTACCCTCCAAGGTTGACTCAAGTTCCAGGGGACTATGGAACATCTCTCAAAATGTCCTGTAACTGTGGTGAGTCACCTGACCTCTTGTTCAAGGAGGCCATGGAGACCCCATGCGATGGACTTCAACCAGTGTCTAGTCTACAAAGAAGGGGGTCAACTCAGAGGAAACAGCTCATCCATGCTTTCAGGTGAAGCCAGACATGGTCAAGCAGGACCTTTAACTTATCTTCACATAGATGGAACGGTAAAAGAAAGGAGCCAGGGGCTCCTCCCAAGACCATGTGACCCCTGAGGAACAGACCCTCAAATGACCTTAAGTGTAAATAAATTGACTTATTTGGGCCAACTGTATGGTCTTAAACACCCAAAAAGAAAGTATAACCAAAGAGTAAAGTCATCCGTATATTTCTTTAAGAGTTCAAGGGATTACACTTAACCAGACATTAGGCTTAAGTCCATATAAAAAGTTAGACAGCTTCACTTTCCAAGAGTGGAGATTCCAGGTCTGCTTCACAACACCCAGCACTGAATTTTTGTCTAGACCTCTGGATTTATGCCTGCCTCTACTAAAGGTAAACAAAGAGTTATAAAAATATATGCAGAACTCTCCTAGCCTGCACTACTATCCTCAGGCCTCTTGGGGTAAGTCTATAGCGCAGCTCTCCGCGCCCGCGCGCCGGGACTCCCTAAGCGACATTCACCCTTCCATCACCCCCCCTCTCGTTCTATACTCCTAGTTTGGGCCCTGCGCCACTCCTAGTCTCGGGGCCCCAGACACCTGGGGAACCAATACTGCTTCCTAACCCTTCTCACCCAGAGCAACTCAGTCCCTTTCTTGGGCTCCAGGAGCACCGCTTCTGGTCCTGGCCCCGCCCTCACCTCTCTCTGCTTCCCTGGGCCTGCACCACCGGCTAACTCTCCTAGCCTGCACTACTATCCTCAGGCCTCTTGGGGTAAGTCTATAGCGCAGCTCTCCGCGTCAGGACTCCCTAAGCGACATTCACCCTTCCATCACCCCCCCCCCTCGCCGTTCTATACTCCTAGTTTGGGCCCTACGCCATTCCTAGTCTCCGGGCCCCAGACACCTGGGGAACCAATACTGCTTCCTGACCCTTCCCACCCAGAGAAACTCAGTCCCTTTCTTGGTCTCCAGGAGCACCACTTCTGGTCCTGGCCCTGCCCTCATCTCCCTCTACTTCCCTGGTCCTGCAACACCTGCCAGCCTCTTTCTGGGGCTGACAGCCTCTTTCTGGGGCTCCGAGGCTTACCTTTCCTCTCCCTGATCCTTT